TCCCGTTTGTCCTGTATGTGCAGACGGAAGAGGTAGGGAGTGAGGGTTTCGGCTGCGCAGGAAGTTCGTCATGCGCGTGCCAAGTAGACAGCTGAGCTGGAGAGGTGCGTGCTGACGGGGGTGCTGACGGGTGGTATGGAGAGCATGTGGTGGTGGTGGGTCATGCGCAGATAGAAGGGTTGGGGGTAGTTTGGTTGGCGGCGTTTGACGTTGACGTTTGTGGGATGGGGTCAGGGGAGAGGTGTGTGCATGACAGGGAACTCGCAGGTATGCGGGCGGTGCTGGGCTGCGCGAGATTCGCCAGGGGACGCGTATGCAGTTGATATGTAGGCGAACAGGACGAGCGTAGAGCAGGCGTGGAGGTGTTGCAGAGAGTGCGTTATGGTGGTTTGACGGGTTGTGGCTGATGGGTTTGTGGCGCATACGGAGCTTGTGATTTAGAGATTTCGGCTTGTACTGTGTGTGTAAGGAGGAGGGCTGTAGTGCGCGATGTTATTGTCTGTGCAGGAAGTTCGTCAATCGCGTGCCAGGCAGACAGCTGTGCAGGAGGGATGCGTGCTGACGGGCGGTATAGGGGCGATGTGCTTGTGGCGGTTAGCGTGCAGGGAAGAGGGTCTGGGGCTAGACTTGTTGGCGGCGTTTGACGCTCATTTGCGCGGGATGGGTTCTAAGGAAGGTCATGAACAAAAAGGGGACTTATATATATGGGGGCCTCGCGCGACTGCGGGATATTTTCCAGGGAATGCGTATGCACGTGACATGTAGACGAACAGGACGAGGGCAGCGTAGGCGTGCAGGAATTGCAGAGAGTGCGTTAGGGTCGTTGAGGGGTTGGGCGGTTTGCGCTGGAGAAGGGCAGGTAAGGAGCGTTTCGCTTGCTAGGCGGCAATGCTTGGTGTTTGGGATGCTTGGCTTGGAGTTGAGGCGCGTAGCAGGACAAGCTGTTTGGGGGTTTTGGAACAGCTGGGGTCTACTGCAGTGCGACGCAATACCTGGTGTATGTTGGCATTGCAGATTTTGGTTTTTGTTTGGTTTTGTTGCTGGTTGAATGTGGGTTGACCAGCGGGTCTAGAGTGCACTGCCGTGAGGTCCCTAGTGCGTGCAAGATAATGCAGTGCTTGAGCTGTGGGGTGGAACTGAGCTGCGGTGAGTGGAGCTGGTAGTTCAGGTTTATGTTGCGGAGTACTTTGGAAACAGAGATATAAGGTCCTGTCGCGTGGGCGGGTTTGGAGGCGCATGCTATTGACGGTAGCGTGTCGCTATTCAAAGTGTGAGCAATGCCTTGTTGCGCGGTTTGAGCGCTGCCTGGATCTTTCGGAGGAGAAGGGGACTGCCGTACGAAGCTGGGTAGGGAGTGGGAGCTGTTGAGTTTGTGGCGCCTAAGGAGCTTGTGGTTTACGGATCTCGCGTTTGTCCTGTGTGGGCAGACGGAAGAACAAGGTAGGGAGCGATGTTGTCGGCTGTGCAGGAAGTTCGTCACATGTGTGCCGCGATACAACTTAGAGCGTGAGCAAGCGTGGCATGGAGGGGGTGCCTCTGAGTGCAGTTCTCTCGAGTGGTTGGATCCATATATTTTGGAGACGTACCTGCAGAGAGAAGATTGGAGCGCCTAATTATTTTGATTTTGTAGCCAGATTAAAGGTAGAAGTGATGAGGCGCCTGCATGCGTGTTGAGGAGCCTCGAAGCTTGTCGGTTTCTTCCCGGTGGCCTCCACTAGGGAAAACTCGTTGTTTCCATGTTTTCCGTCAGCTGTGTTCACACGAATTTGACGAATTGGTCCGCGGAGGGCTCGAGTGCTTTTAGTACTAAAATAGTCGATTCAGCGTGATAAAGTAGGAATTTTGTGCTTTAAGATACGCTTGCGGCTTATTTGCTAATTGAACGTGAGGGATTCTTGTATGCTTGAGCCGCTCAGAGACAAGAGAGACGCTTGAAGCCTCATAATGACTTAGAGGGTACGGTGTTTCCGTCAACGGTTCCTCAGGAAAACCACGCACCAGGTTCAGCGCCCATGCATCTTACATGTTTCTTATGCATGGGCGGTACCCTCCTCTTCAGTTCACACGCAGGTTTGGTTTAGTCTCTAACAAACGTTGCTTGGTTCCTGGATCCGCTGTATCACTGCCGACCGTCCCCTTTCGTATGAACCGTGACATCTGCGGCGTGTGTGTATCATTTGCACAGCTTGCTCCCCTGGAGGCATCTATACTTACGATTCTGCGCAGCTTGTGCGTGTGGCTGCCAGTCATTGACCGCTGCAACTTGTGGTATGTGTTCAACGGCAGAACGTTGAGGCGCTTTTGCATTGCGTTGCATAGCAATGATAAGCGTTTCTCCGCGCTTTCCTTCGGATCATACGTGTGACAAAAAACACACCTGTTCTTTGCTCTTGACAGCGCCTGAAGGTTCCTGAGCTGTGGGAGAGCTGCGCCGAGCAGCTCAGTGCATTTAGTGCGGTATTGTAGGCTGATGCTGTTCTAAGCGTTGTTGTTTACCCATTCGTGGAAGCATTGACCGTTTGCTAGTACTTACACGGACTAGCATGGCTGTGTTTAGAGACGTCGCCGACACGTTTTCGATCGCAACGCGCGTCTTCGAAGGTATCCTGAATGGGTTTCTGCCTTGAGTCACTGGATCTCCGGCTTAGGTAAATTCGCATGAGTCTTGATGTTCGGCCGCGCAGAGAGTACGCTCACGGCGTCGCATGAGACAGGTGGAAGCAGTGAGCGAACGGAGTTTTGAGACAGGCCTGCTGATTCGATGAGTTTAACGAAGTTGCCAACGCAACGGTAAAACGCAGGGTAAAGCAGGGTAAAGCATACGCCAGAATATATTGGTTGTTCGCCACCCACAGCCCATTAGGTCGTTGCTGTTGACTGACTGCTGGGTCAGGGAGGCCGGAGTGCAGGCGACGGTTGTAAACAGCATTTTAGAAGCGTCGTGGCAGATCCGGAAGGCCTTGAGCGAGCTTCCCCTGAATTGTATATATACCGCGAGGAACCGTTGCAGATATGTTTGCAGCAGCGGTGATTTGTGTCATTTTGCCTGCTGCGGACAACGCTTTCGGAATCGTTGGCGGTGCGCATTACATCTTCTGCCTTCATATAGATGCATAACAGTGTCTGCAGCACCGGTGGTTGCTGGAGTCCAGACCCTAGGGCCTCGCGACGAAGGTCCTGTAGACGCTAGCAGCTCCGTTCCTTCTGGCTTTGCAATTCAGCAGATGGAGCGGCGAAGACATGTTCCTCAATTGTAGGCGGTGCGTGATGCGCTGCGTGTTAACGTGGCCATATGCATGGGACAGCCGGGGCTCTAGTCTCAGTGCTCGAGAGAGAAGAATACGGCGGTAATGAAAGTGCCAGAGTGGGACGCGATCGTTTTCTCGAGGGACTTGCACTACGGCAGCAAGGACTCCGAGCGGGACCGTCACAGCAGCGGTTCCTTACTCCGTGCCGCAGCGGGTCGAATTTCTGAACACAGCACCAAATCCACGGAAACAAACTATTTTGCATGCGCATTTCTCTGCAGCAGTTCTTGGCTAGCACAATCGTTTAGGATAAGACAGACTCACCCCCAAGGAAGTACGTTCCGTGCGACGAGGGTGGCCAGCCGAATTATTCTCTGGTTTTGGCAGTAAGCTTTTACTCCCGATGTTCTCCAATAACAGCAGTAGCCTTGTACTTCCGAGTTTGGGCGCGTTCGTGCAGCGCTGTGTGATTGCCAGTTTCTTTGTCGTTACACCTTATTGTTGCTTCCTTTACCCGTTAGCTTACACGCGTGGCCAAGTTCGTACCTCCTCGCATATGCGGTCCTTCGTTGCGAGCCGCCGAAAGGCATTGCGTACTGCAAATGGACCCGGATTTCGGTGCCACTTTCCCGCTGCTCTACTGTTTGCGAAAAGCGCTGTGTATGGAATTACTCTTTCTGATTTCTACACAGAAGCATGCTGTGGAAGGAGGGCTA